ACGGACAAGCACTACTTCACACGGATGAACAAAGCTCAGTAAAAGTATGCAGTTAAGTTCACTTCTTCATAGCCATGGATCGTTCTAGAACAAGTCTGGCAATCATTCTACATTTCCCTCTTCTGCTCCCCCTTCCAACCGAAAAAAAAAACCCCAAAACTAGACCTACTGCCATCAAGTGGACCCTGACTCCCGCAGGCCCGCTGTGCAGTCTAGGGGACAGCCTGCAAATGTGTAAGGGGCAGACAGCCTCTTTGGTCTCCTTGGAGCGGCTGCTGGGTTTAGCCGCCCGCCGAACGCAAAGCCACTCGTCCCCCCAGTCCTAGTCTGCTACGATCGCCACCCACCCCTCTGCTCTCCCCGCAGCTGATAACTCTGCCTGTCTCACCGAGATGAAGGACCACGCAGAGCCCTTCCACACTTGCCACCACACACATCCGCCTGTTGCCATTTGCACCCCCGCATTTTGCTCCCCTTCGTTCCACTACGGCCAACGCACCATTTTTGTGTGCCACAACCCTTCCCGTCTGGCCTCAAGAACCTTATCCCGTTCTCCCACCGTCACCTGCATCGTCACCAGTCTCCCCCCCCCCCCCCCCAATTTCTCTACCACTCACTCTTCTCTTTGTTGCAAGGCTTCTGGAAAGAGTTGTCTATATAATAGTTTATGATCTTTCTCCTCTCCAAGTTCCTTAAGTGCACCAGTCAAGCTTTTGGCCTGACTACTCCCTCAAAACTGTCTTTCCTTCGCTCTTCAAAATAAGCAACAATGCCCAGTGGCCAGTCCTTAGCGCCCATCTCTCTCAAGGAGCAGGAGCACTCCACACTGTAGTACTCCTCGCACCCGGATGGATTTTTATCACTTGGCTTCTTGTAAAACACACTCCTTTGATCTTCCTATCTCAGTGGTTGCTCCCCTTTTTTTAAGTCCTCTTCCCTTCTTCATGTTGCATTGTCCCAGGATTCTGTCTTTGAAATTTCGTCTCTACTTATACTCCTTTTTTAACAATTTTACTGTCATAAAATTCACATATAATTTAATAGTTCATTTACATCAAGAAGAGTAATAAAATCATCAAAACAATCAGTTGTAGAACACTTTCTTCATTCTTAATACGTAGTCTTCCCTTTTAGCTTCCCCCCCACTACACTCTTCCCAAGCCCCCATGCCATAGCCCCAAGGAACCATTAATACAATTACTGTCTCTGCAGATTTATAGACTCTGGATTTCATATACAGAAAGACATTTTTAAGAATAAGCAAAAACTGAACAATAACAAAACAAAAGAGGTAAAACTTCAATCAAATAAAAGCCAAAAATATTAAAAACGATAAGAAAACCGATCACAATGATCGACATATAACACCATCACCACCACCACTACACCTGGGGGACAAACAACAGAAAAGTGGGTGAAGGGAGACAGTGGTCCGTGTAAGACATTAAAAAAAAAAAAATTTATAAATTATCAAGGGTTCATGAGGGAGGGAGGGTTAAAAAAAGGTAGAGCTTGGCTCAAGTAGAAGGAAAATGTTTTGAAAATAATAATGACAACAAATGCTTGACACAACGTATGCTATGTATGGGTTGTGATAAAAGCTGTAAGAACCCTCAATAAAATGATTTCAAAAAACTAGAAAAATATTAAAATGGATCATAAGGGAAATAAGATGATAAGGTGCTAAATTTTAACCTAACTGCATCTGCAATAATCCACTTTCTAATACATTCTGCATGATAGCAAGGCTTTTCAGATCCCTGGTCCATGGCCAGAGGAACTCACCAAATCCATGTGTATTTATTTCCCCTTTGCTTTTTTTTATAAAACTGAAACAACTTTAAGATGGGTCAAAAGAGAGATCAAATGATATTTCACTTTAACCTCATAACTGACTTTACAATGCTCTCTGGCTGATAACAAGGATACTCACATCAATATGATCAGAGGAATTGACTGGAGCCTTAATCCATGTCTAGAGCCTGCAAATGGATTTTGGACTTCCATTGTCATCTATAGCCTCTGCAAGCCAGGTGTTCACAATTTATACTCTGATACCATTCCCTCCTTTGGATCTCGGTTACATGATTACAATCCTTGGATCACAAAGGCTGCTGTGCTTTTTCCATGTGGACTTAGTTGTTGCCTCCCTTACTTGGCTGCGTGTGTGACAAGCCTTTAAGCTCCCAGATGCTATTCCTTCTGATAGCTGGTTCCCCCTGTGTCTGCAGGGATCTCTGCATGAGGGTAAGCACCAAGGAGGGCCATGTCATAGGAACTAATTGTTCTCGGAGTGGGGCTTGAATTAAATACCACCCTGAGGTCCATTCATAAATCTGCGGTGTATGTTTATGTCGAGTTCCCCTTAGAGACATCATTGTCACAGGGTAGTTTTACGGGGTCCTATACAGTCACTGAGTCAGGACTGACTTAATGGCCGTGGAAGTGATGCCATAGGAGAATGACTGATAATGTTCTATTCATACTCATTATTGATAATCCCATCTCGCCTCATGGTTTAAATATATCTACTCATAGTAAAGCAGCCCAGGTGGCATAGCAGTTAAATGTTTCAGCTGCTAACCTCAGGGTCAGCAGTTCAAAACCATCAGCGGCTTGATGCTCTGAAATCCACAGAGGCAGTTTTACCCAGTCCTATAAGGTTGATATAGTTGGAATTGAATTGATAGCATGGAGTTTGGGATTGTTTCTTTGTTTGTTTGTTTATAGTAAATGTTTTTATAAACACTCAACCTGTGAGGTCTATCTAAATAAGATAGGCTGGATGAACAATCTGGAGGAGAAAACAACAGGACCAACGGTTCCGGGGTACATGGGAGAAGGGGAAGTGAGGGGGAAGGAAGTGGTGTTAACAAATCCAGGGACAAGGGAACAACAAGTGATCCAAATCAGTGGTGCGGAGGGTGAAGGAGGCCTGGTAGGGCATGATCAAGGGTAATGTAATTGAGAGGAATTACTGAAACCCAAATGAAGGCTGAGCATGATAGTGGAATGAGAGGAAAGTAATAGGAAATAGAGGAAAGAACTAGAAGGCAAAGGGCATTTATAGAGGTCTAAATAAAGGCATGTACATATGGAAGAGATTTTTATATGATGTTGGGGAAATAGATCTATGTGCATATATTTACAGGTTTAGTATTAAGGTCGCAGATGGAGATTCGGCCTCCACTCAAGTACTCCCTCAATGTAAGAACACTATGTTTTATTAAACTGGCATTCCATGATGCTCACCTTCCTGACACGATCGCTGAAGACAAATGGGTGCATAAGCAAATGTGGTGAAGAAAGCTGATGGTGACCAGCTATCAAAAGATATAGCACCTGGGGTCTTGAAGGTAAACAAGCGGCCATCTAGCTGAGAAGCAACAAAGCCCACATGGAAGAAGCACACCAGCCTGTGCGATCATGAGGTGTTGAAGGGATCAGCATCAAAGGACAAAAAAATCATACCATTGTGAATGAGGGGGGAGTGTGGAGTGGGGACCCAAAGTCTATCTGTAGACAACTGGACATCCCCTTATAGAAGAGATGCAGGGAGGAGACGAGCCAGTCAGGGTGCAGTGTGGCAACAATGAAACATACAACTTTCCTCTAGTTCTTAAATGCTTCTTCGCCCCCACTATCATGGATCCCAATTCTACCTTACAAATCCGGCTAGACCAGAGGATGTACACTGGTACAGATAGGAACTGGAAACACAGAGAATCCAGGACAGATGAACCCCTCAGGACCAGCGGTGAGAGTGGCCATACCAGGAGGGTGGAGGGAAGGTAGGGTAGAAAAGGGGAACCGATTATAAGGATCTACATATAACCCACTCTCTGGGGGATGGACAACAGAAAAGTGGGTGAAGAGAGACATTGGACAGTGTAAGACATGAAAAAATATATAAATAAATTATCAAGGGTTCATGAAGAAGGGAGTGGGGAGGGGTAAAAATGAGGCGCTGATACCAAGGGCTCAAGTAGAAAGAAAATGTTTTGAGAATGATGATGGCAACAAATGTACAAATGTGCTTGACACAATGGATTGTGTATGGATTGTGATGAGTTGTACGAGCCCCCAACAAAATGATTTAAAGAAAAAAATAACTCAAATGGAATCTCATAATCCTATCAGAAACTTCCCCTGACCTTGTCTTACCTTGACTCATCACGAAAGAAAAAAATACATCCCCATCTGCATGGTCCAACCCAGGTGTTGGGAGGAGATGCAGACTATGGGCAGCCGTGCCACGCACCACACATACTAACACCACCTCTCCCCACTCCCTGTTCCTTTCTCTGCCGAGTTAAAAAAAGACACGTTTCACTGTAGGATGGAAGACTAACTGGAAATGGGAAAATCTGGGAAGTACCAGCCAAATTAACTTAACACTATTTGCCTGTACTAAGAGCTTATCAGTGAACACTGAGAGATTATATTAGTGGAGGTATTAGAGCCATGTTTGCTGTATCACATCAGTTAACATTCTTTGTCTCACTACGCCTCTATGTTCTCATCTGTCAAGGGGTAATGATAATTGTACCTACTCTTCACGGTATGAAAATTAAATGAGGTGACACACAGCAAAGTGTGTGCACACGCAATAGCTACGTGTTGAGTTAAGGACACACCATACAGTGGTGTGTGGTGGTGAGTGGAGGAAGGGGAGCCAGTGGGGTGAGGGTGGGGGAAAGTGGGTGCATGCCACCTGGTGCAAAGGATTGTATCCACTGACGTTGCTCAGAATGCTGGCACATGTGATGATGAAAAGCACCTGGGCAGCTCCATTTTAGTTTTAAATTCTCTGCCTACGATGACCCCCTGGACTGCCCTCACCACTGGCACCATGGCAGAAGACCACGTCCACACCCCTCACTCACTGCTAGCAGGCCCAGTGCGCAGCACAAACTCGGAGGGCAGCGGCTGACCAGGGCTGCTGTGTGTTCTGGAGTAGACTAAGGGTGCTTACTGAGAACACGAAAGCATTCACTTGCCTTTCTTGAACTTGTGTATGGGGAGTTTCTTCAGTTGATCTTTACGCAGTCTGTTTCTTCTAGCTCTGTGTCGGTCCTGGACAAATTTTGTGATCTAAAAGTAAGAGAGAAAAAGGAGACAGATATTAAACATGCAAATAGAAAGTGGCCATTAAAATAACAAATGTCTCTTTAAGTCTCTAGACAGCTGCTGCAAAACAATTCATGTCACTTAAATCCTAATTGTAATATGATGAATTAAAGCACTACATTACATTAGAATTAGTTACCCCATAAATTACCTTTGGAAATTTTATTCATTGACCTTGAAATCTTTTACTCTGACAGAGGCATTATAAATAGTGTATAACTATTTTCCTACAAACATTAAAATGGTAGAGCACAGATTACCAAGACCAACGGATCAAGATGAATGGGAGGGTAGAGATGTTAAAAATTACAAACTTGTAACACTTTCACACATACCTTGTTACTGCACGTTCACTTCCAGCAGTATAAAAGAACACAGAATTCCTCTACTAGAAATGTCTACAAACGCTGGATAAAATATACAAAATGTTTTCAATTAAATTGCCAGGTGCATGATTATGGAAGCCAAGTCTGCAGGGGCCAGCATCACGGAGGAGCACCAATCACGCAGGTGGACTCCTAGGCCGCTCTGGGGGTGACTGGGCAGAGCTATCAGCTCCGATGGCTGAGGGGCAGGGCGTCTTGCCATGGGGGGCAATGACCAGGCCTTTGGGCCTCAGGAGAGGAGAACTGGAACTGAAAAGGAGGATCCCTTACGGGCTGAATTCCACAGTCAATGGGATTTTCCCTTGGGTCAGGACATCACGACATGTGTGCTTGGCGTGGTCAGGTGCTCTGCGTGGGCAGAACAAGCTCCTGTGCGGCATTCAAAGGACCAGCCTGCCCCGTGCTGGGTTTGTTGGTCTGAATCACACTCCACGGGGTGGAAGCCCTCAGGCTGAGACGCGAACAGGGGGGCAGAGCACGCGGTATCATGGGGATCCTGACACAAGGTCAGGGGGGGATCAGCCGGAGACGCTTTCCCCGGAACAGAGGGCACACAGGCGCCAACTGCTGCGGGTGAGGCACCGGAGCTGCCATGTGGGAGTCGTGGGCTGGCTCACTGTGCAGCCAGCACCTGGTGTCAATGACAGCTTGCACGCTGACGTGACAGCGACGCACGGATTCCAATGAAACTTCCGGATGGAGTACACTCACTTCATGGCCTCGCACACCCCCCTTGGGTGACGGGTTATGATTCAGACGCCTATGGCTGTCGCGCGTTCCAGAGGGCACCCCCTGCTAACATGCAGGGACGGGAGGAGACAGGTCATAAGGGTGTGGGCCAGCACAGGCTTCATTCAAGGGGAGAAAGCCCGGGCTTGCGACTCCCGTCAAGAGTTACAGCTCCCCACAGGAGCAGGGCTGGCCTTGCCTACAGGGTCGCTGTGAGTCGGCATCGACTGGATGGCTGTGCGTTTGGACTTTGGTTTGGTTCCTGTGACTTGTAAAGGATGTACAGAATGATAGGCTACAGGTGGGAGGAAGGGGAGGGAAAACCCTGTTTCTGGTGTGGCCTGGGAAAAGCCTGGCTGATTAAGGTGAGTAGGCGGCCAATGCCTGCCAGAAACATCCTGCCACGGGCCCGTCATCTGCACACATACAGCAGAGTCCAGGGGTGGAGAACAGAGGATACCACTGGGGGAAGGGCTACATGTTAACCTGACTGCCCCATACATGTGCCCTGTAAATCCACCAGGTGACCTTTGTCTGTATTGGTCTGGTAAGAAGGTGGGGAAGCCACGGATAGGCTTTGCCTGTGAGTGACTGGGAACAGGGTCTCCTGCAGTGCAGCAGGCGGTGTATGGAAGGAGCTCTCTGAGAAGCAGGGGGGCGTGGGGGTTGGGGACTGCACCCATGGCAAGAGCCAGGAGTGAAGTGCGTGCTCTGGCCCCAGCGTCGGGCTTACCCCCTTTCTGACCTTCCCACCAGCACATGCAACATTTCCTCACACTTACGCGAGAATTCCCTGCAAACATGAGGGCACACACTGGCGGGAGGAGTGGAGTAAATGCAGCAGACTGGCATGTTGGAAGAGGGGGCATGGAGTTGTTTTCGATAGCTCTCCAAGTCCTTGGAACTAGCTCGGGATATTGATTCTCACAAAGGGAATTATTACCACATAGACTAAGGCAGATGAGAAAGAAGCCTGACTATCACCTTCTGAAGATCAATCAGCCAGTGCGGTCCCAGGGGTCACCATGGTGCCATCTGCAACAAGTCCTGGGGCGCTGCGAGACTGGGCGGCCATTTGTTCTGTTGGACATGGGGGTCACCGTGAGCCAGGGCGATTCAAGGCCGGCAACAATCACCACGACCACCAGCGCAAAGTGCTTCCTGCTGAGAATAGATTACACCCCCACCTCCCTACCAAGTAGAAGCAGTGCGCCCGGAGCAAGGGGCAGCTGATCCAGCGACAGTGGAGAGCACACCACTTTCCACTGTGGTATAGGGATCAAAGAAACGCAAAACAAGTCATCCTTTCCCCGCCAAAACCCTGGAAAATTACCCACTAAGACGGCAGAAAAGGAAGAGGAAATCACGGCAACAAAACCTTCTGAACCGAGTTTCACAGATTAGACAGGACTCAAGGGGAACCAGTGACCATGAGAACTATGTGTGAAGAGCCAACCACTCTCACTGCCGCTGCGTGCACTCTGACTGTGGCCCCCGGCACAGGACAGGGCGGGACTGCCCTTTGTGGGAGCAAGCAGCCTCATCTCTCTCCCTGTGGAGTGCCGGTCATTTCAAACTGCTGACCTTGAAGTGCTGCCCCTGTGCCAGCAGGGCTCCTCTGTGTGCAACAGGAGACTGGGGGACACAGGAGGCGCGAGAGGGCGACAGGAAGAAGAAGCAGGGACAGTGGTCAAAGAAGCTCCACAGAGGAGACAGAGAGCAAGGGAGAAGCAGAGAGAGAATACTGTTGAGAACTCTCTGGAATAATTTTTAAAAATCAGAATCGATGTTGGACAAGATATATAAAAATAAACCCATACCTAAGCAAAGCATAGACCCCCGCCACCCCCACCCCCCAAATTGAAAATCTGAGAATAAATCAGAAAGAAAATTTAAATTATCTACCAAAAACATTTATACTAACAATAAGCTTTTCTACAGCAATAGAAAGGACAGATGATGGCAGAGAGATAAGGTAGAATAACCATTAACAGAGATTTCTATAAGTGGCAAAACTCTAATCATGAATAAAACAGAACATTTTAAGGGAAATAAAGTGAGAAAAGTTACTACTCACAGATCTGATAATATCTACTATAGATTATATTTCTGGAAGTGGAAACAATCTATATACATGAATGTCCATCCACAAAAAGAATGAACTTGTATCAATGTTCCACATACATTACAATTAAAAATCTATGCAAAATAGATCAAAGACTTATTTGGAAAAAGCGAAAAGTTTAAAAAGAAAACATTAGAAATGTTTGTGACCTTGTAGTTAGATTTTTTTTGATACAATGGCAAAAGCACTATCCGTAAAAGAAAAATCTGAGTACATCCAAGTTTGGGAACATTTGCCCTCAGAAGACACTCCTCGTGGTAACAGTTAAGATGCAGGTGAGGGAAGCAATCTGCAAATCACTTATGTGGTAAGACATCTGTATTTATGTGGCAGTTACATAATCTCCTGTCATCTTGAGCCATCGGGTCATAGTCAGTGAGGCCTCTGTGTGGACTTGGCCTTCTCCTGAGGAACCTGGGAAGTCCTGTCTTCCTCCCTGGAGGCAGGAGACACTCTCTCTGCTTCGTCTTCCTGTTGACAAGCCACATGGAGCTGTGCTGATAGAATCAGAGCCCTGGAGCTGGAGGAGCTACACAGGGACCCACACCAGCGCTGAGATGCTTCCAACACCACTGGATGCACAAGACTCCACTCACTGGCCTATGATCTTCCTGCATTCAGCATCATTGCATGGCTGTGTGAGTCTAAAGAAGAATTTATGGACTAGTATTGGGCAGATAGGGTCTTATCGGACTTATGGACTTGATCTGGACTGGGCTGGGATGTTTTCTCAATATACAATTGCTCTTTTATATAAA